TAGGGAGGGGAAATGGGAGAAGGGGATGACATCTGTAGTGTAAATAAATAAAATATCCAATAAAAAAAAAGAGCAGCAAACAAGCTGGGGATAGCGGTGCAAATCGTTTGTCCCAGCACTCCGGAGGCGAAGGCGAGGGCTCGGGCTACGTAATGAGACTTTGTCTTAAACAATAAAGAATAAATCAAGCAAGAGTGCTGACATTTGATTTTCTGTCTTCTCTCTTTTCTTTCTTTCTTTGTTACTGACTTTCTTTTCTTCTTTTTCTTCTTTTAAAATGAAGTTTCACTATGTATTCCTGATTGGCTTTGAAACTCACTGTGTGGACCAGGCTGGCCTCAAAGTCACAGAGATTCACCTGCTGCTTCTGCCTCCTGAGTTCTGGGATTAAAGGTGTGAAGCATCATTCCTGGCTTCAAACTTGGTTTCTCTCTGTTTGACGGTGATGTGATGTGACCAGGGACTTCCACCTCCTGCCACAGTTTATAAAACCTATGCTGTGGTGGATGGAAGGAAACTCCCTTTTCTCTTAAGATGCTGTTTTGTCAGAGGTTTTTGTTTCGTTTTGGTTGTTGTTGTCACGGCAAAAGAAATGAACTAGAAGAGTTCCTGACTGAGAGGGAGGATGCTCATGCCCGAGGGTCAGAGAACTGGAAAGGGGGCTTTGAAGGGGTGGCACCTCCTCCTTGTCATCTTGTTGACTGAGGACATTTCCCCTCTGAGGACTGTGAATGACAGAAGAGAAGATGAAGGCTCAGTATACAGAGTTCTAGTCCTGGCTCTGATGTACACACTCGAGTACCTGTGGATGAGTTGCTGCTATTTCTGTCCCACCTGTAAAAATGAAAGGTCTAGGGCTGGAGAGATGGCTCAGTGGTTAAGAGAACTGACTGCTCTTCCAGAGGTCCTGAGTTCAATTCCCAGCAACCACATGGTGGCTCACAACCATCTGTAATACGATCCGATATCCTCTTCTGGTGTGTCTGAGACAGTGACAATGTACACACATACATAAAAAAGAAGGGTTTAGATGACCCACCTCATACAGGCTTGGAATCTTCAGAACTCATTTTCATCACAGGACAAGGAAGTAATGAGCCATGGGCACAGGGGAGGGCAGTGTGGGTTTATGGGAAAAGTTTCAGGTGTTGATAGAGGTGCCAGCGATCAGAGCGTGGTGACAATCATCAAACCCTCAGGTACCAATGATCAGAGCGTGGTGACAATCAAACCCACTTTTTGCTTCTGTTGTGTTTGTGATGCCAGAAGTCAACCCCAGGACCTCATTCGTCCTAAGCAAGTGTTCTCCCACTGGGCGACACCTTAGCTTAGACCCACTTTCATTGTCAGCCCTGCCATTTGCCAGGCTGTGTGACCCTAGTCAAGCAACACAGCGTCTGAGACCGGTGGATCTCAACCTGTGGATCATGACCCCTTTGGGGGTCGAAGGACCCTTTCACACAGGTCATCTAAGATCTTTGGAAAATACAGGAACTTATATTATGATTCATAACAGTAGCAAAATTACAGTTATAACAAAAATAATTTTATTAGACACTCGTGTGTTACTACAGTAGTAAGTAAGGTCTAAGAAGCCACAGGGCTGAGAAAACAAAAAATATGTTTACTTCACTACCCCCGAATCCATGCCTCCCCTCACAGTTGGACTATTTAAAATGTTTTTATGCTGGGCAGTGGTGGTACACACTTTTCATCCCAGCATAGGTGGATCTCTGAGTTTGAGGCCAGCCTGATCTACAGAGCAAGTTCCAGGACAGCCAGGTCTACAAAAAGAAACCTTGTCTTGAAAAAAAAAGTTTTTCTCTGATTTATTTTGTCCAGGGTATTGCTGATGGTCAGAGGCCAGCTTCTAGAATATAGGTCTCTCCTTCTATCACATGCTATCCAGGGGTCACTGTGAGGTCATCAGGCTTGGTGGCAAGCATCTTCACCCTCCCAATAAGCCCTATTGTGGTAGTTTGAATGAGAATGTCCCTACAGGCTCATATATTTGAATATCTCATCACCAGAGAGTGGAATCCTTTGAAAGGATTAGAAGGATTAAGAGGTATGGCCTTGTTGGAGATGACAGTCACTAGGGGTAGGCTTTGAGGTTTCGGAAATCCATTCCAGGCCCAGTCTCTCTCCCCTTTTCTGCCAGAGCATCAGGGCATAGCTCTCAGTTATGTCTTCAGTACTACATCTGCCTGCTGCCATGCTTCCCACCATGATGATAACGGACTAAACTATGAAACTGTAAGTAGCTACCACCACTTACATGCTTTCTTTTATAAGAGTTGCCTTGGTCATGGTGTCTCTTCACAACAGTAGAACAGTGACTAAGACACCGATTCTAAGTTTTGGACAAACACCCCATCCCAGTCACCAGCCTCGCCTGACCTAGAAATTTCAGGGATCTTCAGCTAACCCCTGTTGCCTCGTGGGTGATCTTCACTCTGCAAGACCTTCCATACTCCACAAGAGAACTAGCATTGTATACTTCCTCCCTGAGGCAGGCTTCCTCTGACCAGGCAGAGACGGCATTTCCCCAGCTATTTCCACCACTCTGGAATTTAACTACGCTGCACTGCACCTGCCCCTCACCATGTGTGTATTACTGATTCTTGATTACACACCATATCTGAGTTAGGGTTATCATTGCTGTGATAAAGCACCATGATTAGAAGTTGGTAAGGAAAGGGTTTATTTGGCTTGTAGTAGTCCATCATTGAAGGAAGTTGGGACAGGAACTCAAACAGGGCAAGAACCTGGAGGCAGGAGCTGATGCAGAGGCCACAGAGGGGTGCTGATGTCTGGCTTTCTCATCATGGCTTGTTTAGCCTCCTTTCTGATAGATCTCAAGACCACCAGCCTAGCCCACAATGGGCTGCCTCCTTCTACCAATCACTAATTAAGAAAATACCCTATGGCCTGATCTTATGGAGGTACTTTTCAGGTGAGGTTCCCTCCTCGTTGATGACTACAGCTTGTGTCAAGTTGCCAAAAAAATTGCCAGGACACCCTAACAGATGTGGAATTAAATAGAAACTGTCTTAGTTAGGGTTGTCATTATTGCGATGAAACACCATAATCAAAAAGAAAGTTGGCACCACCAAAATAATAATAATAATAATAATAATAATAATAATGATAATGATAATGATAATAATTGGGTGGTCCATACCCTTAATCCCAGCACTTGGGAGGCAGAGGCAGGCGGATTTCTGAGTTCAAGAGTTTGAGGCTCAGCCTGGTCTACAGAGTGAGTTCCAGGACAGCCAGGGCTACACAGAGAAACCCTGTCTCGGAAAACAAAAACAAAAACAAAAACAACAACAAAAAAAAAGCCTTACAGGGTTTTCTACAGCCGGATCTTATGGAGGCATTTTTTCAGTTGTGGTTCCTTCCTCTTAGATGGCTACAGCCAAGACATAAAACTAGCCAGCACAGGAACTTTAACAGTTGTGTGTGTGTGTGTGTGTGTGTGTGAACGTGTGCGCTTGAATATATGTAGAAACAGAGGACACCTTCTGACAGTTCTCTCCTGCCTTTATGTGGTTTCTGCGATCAAACACAAGTCATCAGACCTTCATAACAAGTGAGTTACCATGGAGCCCTGGGACTGTGTTTTGACAAAGTATATGTAACCCACACTATCCTTGAACTCTGTCTTCTTACCTCAGTCTCCCAAGCCCCAAGATTCCAGATGTACAGCCCCACACCTAGAATCATCGTATCTGGAAGCACAATGTCTTCTTTGTCCCACCAGTATCTGCCTCTTGGCAGGTGTTCCCTGAGTATCCACTGGAACATGGAAAACTGGATGGCCGAGCCAGCCTTTCCTGTCTTTTGGTACAGTAATGTCAGACTGGCCCACCGTCTGCCCTGGGTTCTTTCCCTGCCTTCCTTCCACTCCAAGCATCTGTTAGGTGATGGCAAAAGCTTACCAAGAGCCTGCACACTCTCAGATAGGGTCTCACTCAGGAGCCTAGTCTGTTCTTGAACTTGCAGCAGTTCTCCTGCCTCGCTCCACTGAGTGCTCAGACTACAGGTATGTACCATCATACTTGGCTAGGGCTGTCACAGTGCAACGACAGCCACAGAAGCACATAGGAGAGAGTGTTACCTAGGATCTAGCCTGCTTTTGGAGCCAGTAAGAGAGGCAGGGTGGGGTAATGTTCCTTGGGCTGTGAGAAAGCCACCTCCCTGAATCCCAAGAAGCATCCTGGATCTCCTTTGATGGTCCCACACATGACCTGTCCTTTCCAGTCTCCTGACACAGTGCTGTCGTTCTGTGGAGCTCAGGCCCCAGCAGGAAACATGTTTTCAAATGAATAAAACCTCAAAGTGTCACGAAGGAACCCAGCTATATATTGAAACACAGTTAACAGACATTTACATTTTTGGTATGTAATATATATGTTTCTTTATTAACATGTTAAAAACAAGTAAAGTCTAACAACTATGATCATTTCAAAGTAGTGACACATAAATGATATTCTGAGATATAAAGCAGGTCTGAAAACATCTGGGATTTTTGTCAGCTACAAAGTCACACATACTGTTGATGCTACTGTGGCTTGCCCAAGTACATAAGGGAATGTTAAATTTGTCACAGGTGAGTGAAAATAACCATGTAATTATTTTTTTCCTATCTAGGTTCACAAATCCCCTGAAATCCTTGGACCCAGCCAAAAGCTTCGGACTATAGCATAGAGCACACCAGCCTGAGCCTTAACCCGAGTGCACAGGGCCTGGGAAGCGGGGACTCATGCCACTTTCCCTGTGGCAAGCCTGAGCCTAGAAAGGTTAAGGAACCTGCCCAAAGTCACCCAGGCTCAACTTGAAGCTCTGTCCCTCTCTCCGCACAGAGCTGGACCCCAGAGCCAGGCACTCTATGGCCTCTAACCTAGAATGCCTGCTCACCCATGGCCTGAGCCCAATAGGGTTCAGTTCGTGAAGCAGAGGGACACGGCCTCTTGAAACCACACACACTCAGGTATTTTTATCTCCAGTTTATTTTTTTAGACTAAGAGCAGAGTATGAAAGTCACAGCCAAAGCACTTGAAAAAGGCCCGGGATGGGTGGGGACCACATAGGGTGGCAGGGCAAGGTCCTGGGAGTTGGTTCCCGGCTCAGGGCTGGAAGGGAGGGGGCATTGTTGTTACGGTCTCCAAAAGTGTCTGTGCGTTGCATAGGTCCTGTCTTCACAGAAGACAAAAGAGGGGCCAGGGGGGTCCCAAGGGGGGCCTAACCTGGTGAGGGAGGGGTCTGAATCTGGAAGGGGAAGTCAAGAAAGGTCAAGGTTAAGAAGAGGAAGGGGCTCTGTCTGTACATTATATATAGAGATATAGAGTCTGTACATGCCTGTCTGGCACCCCAATGCCCACCCCTGTCCACTGCCTGCTCCCCCCAGGGGTGTCTATTTGTAAACTTGGATTCAATCCAAACCACAGTCCTCTATGTGGGAGTGGAGGGAGGACATGCTTATTGCTGTAAACAGGGGAAGGGGCAGCCTGAGGCTCCACCCCTCCCCCATCTAGTCCCCTCCCCCTGTTCTGCCCCAGAGGAGAGTGACAGGGGGCACCTCCCATGCTTCATTTGTTCTCTCTGGGGCATATTTGCCTCTTGGGCGACAAAGAGGGAGGGCACCAAGGGTCAGGGAAAGGTACCAGGGGCCAGGGAGTCCTGAGCGCTGCCTTTATACCCCAGGTTTGGTACCAAACATTACCAAAGCCACAGGCCACCTGGGACCTGTGGCTGTCCTTGTGCCTGATCCACTACGGTGCCTGTCCTAGAGTGTGGGCAAAGAAGGCAGGCACAGATAGATGTACAGTGCAGGCCCCACTCCCAACCATGGGAAGAAGGATGTAGACCCCACAGCTGGCTCCCTGCTCCTTCTCAGCCCTGCCCCACCTCTCTCTGTCATAGGAAGGGGCAGAGCTAGGAGGCCAAGAGCGTCATGAGGAAGAAGGCGATGCCCACGGCCAGAGGCAGGTGTTCCCGCTTGGGACTGGTCCCGCTGATGCTCTTCTCAAGTTTGGGCACCTGGGGATTCTCTCCCTCAAAGTCTTCTGTGGAAAGATAAATAGGCAGACTGGTAAGGGCTGGGCTGTGCGCTAGGGCGGGGGGCACGCGGCGGCGGCGGCGGCAGTAGCAGCAGCAGCAGTGGAGCCAGAGATGTGACCACCCACGGGGGAGGGGCAGGAAGGGCTCGTGTCCCAAGGGAAGACATGCAGGGGGAAAAAAAAAGCAGGCACTGGGAAGGAGGCTGCGATTTCAGCAGTGGCCACCAGAGGGCGCTGCGCAGACTCACCCAACACGTTGATCTTCACATTGGGGCCCATGGTGAACTGGGGGAGAGTGGGGACCGGCTTCTCCCCGGAGTGCGATGCTGCGGGGTGGGGTGCGGGTGGGGAGAGAGGAGGGGAAAGTCAGGGCCAGGACCCCCTCCCCCTGCTACAGCTGGGGAGCTATCCCGATCGCCTGTGCCCTCCGCCCCCATCCCCGGGAAGCCAAGGGAGCCCCAAAGCAGGGAGGCAAGGATGCGGACGTGGTTGGAAACCGACGCTACTCACTGGAGGCGCAGCAGACGAACACCTTCATCCTCAGACACTTCCAATGCAGGTTGTGAGTGGGCGTGGCTGGGGAGGAGACTGGGCCTGAGTTGCTTTCACTCAGTGGCCTTGCGGCCTTAACAGACTCTCAACCTTCTCTAAATTGCCCGCATCCCGCTTTGTCCCGGAGTAACTGCTCCAACCTTTCTTTGGACATTGGTCACCATGACTTCGTAGCCAGCCCATCCCAACAGAAAACCCAACAGAAATGCTTTGCAGCTCATTGAGACTGTCAATAACGTGTCTCTCCCCACCCCCCAGCCTCACAACTTCTCAGAGCTGAAACCCTGAAGCCTATCGCTGGTGACCACTACCTGGGACCCCACCCTGTCAATCAGAAGACCGAGGACCCGGTACTCACAGATGTAGTAGTATTCTTGGCCGGCGTGGAATTCATAGCCCAGCGAGAAGGCGCTGTAGCGCTGGAACTTCTCGGAGAACTTGATGGGACTGTGCGAGGCGTGCTGCCGGTTGCATTCCCAGCGCTTGGAGCCTTGGCTAGCGTTGCAGGTGCGGTAGCCGCTCAGGCTCACCATGTACAGCACGTACTGCTCCGCCCCGCCGCCAGGCCCTGAGCTGTTGTAGTGCGGACAGTAAATATCCAGATAGTCGTTCACGTTCACCTGCACCGTGTAGCCCTCTCGCCGCAGGCTGTGGACAAATGAAGTGGGTCAGAGAAGAAACCCCAGTGCTCCAAGGCTTTTCATGTCAACACCCCGAAGGCCTTCATTAGAACACTACATATTTTTGATCATAAGACTTCAGTCCCCCCACTCTCTTGGCTTTTCCCACAATCTTTTCTCAGCCCATTTCTGCACCCGCGGTCTAGTGTGCCAGTCCCCTGTGTCCTCTCCTTTTTGGCCTGTCCTTCTCCTGATGACCACCAGAGGGTAGCAAAAGCACAAGGAAGCTCTGCCTACCGCCTAAGGAAGAGAGGAGAGGGAGGAAAGAAGGAACCTAGCTCTGGTTGCCACAGAAACAGCACAGGCCCCAACGACTCCCAGACCCCAGGCCCGGATTTCCTCAGTCCATTCCCCATAATTCAGAAGGCCAAGGAGGGACTGAAGGAATGGAAGGCTAGTGTGAAAGTAGAGAGATCCCTTCCTTGGAACCCAAGCCCTCTCTCTATTGCTTCTCCCAGAATGCCTTCTTGCTGCTTCAGGTCCACCCTCCAGGCCAGTCCGACAGGACTTGCCCTCATACACACATGTATGGTGGCTTCATGCACATACATGCACAAGTTCTATGGCACAAACACAAAAATGTCCACCACCCACTCACAGGTGGCAGACACTCAGAAAAGCTAGATTGCATGTGTGCTGAGCCTATGCCAGCTTTAGCTGGCCTCGACAATCCTAGGGGTTCACCTTGTATCTCCTACATGACAAGACCTCTATCTTTGTGCTTCTGAGTTCCATTTTCATCCGTCCTTAGGCCATAAACCATTAAGTTCCCAACAACCGGACAGACCAGGGAGCTGTCATCACGTCAAGACTTCTGCTTCATTCCACATCTTTCTCTACCTAGATGCCACTGCCCCCCTCCACACCACCACGATAATGCTAGGCAGAGTAACAAGAACACAGTGCCTAGACAAGATGACTGTGTCTGTCACATTCCAGATGATCTCTGCCTGACAGTCTCAGCGAAGTGTTGCTCTGAACATCCTTCGCGGTGGCACAGAAAAGTGTAGGGAGATAGAGGCAACTCAATGCACACGTGAGGCGTGGGGAGATGTCATCTTTAACTTCTCTAAGGCAAGTATGCACACATGTTGGTAGTGCTATGGAACTATAGTGGACGCAGGAAAGCATGGGCCACCTGGTGAAATGTCAAACTCTTGGGGTCCCTAGGCCCTGAGAACTCACTGAGGGAAAGAACTGTCTCTCCATATCACCATGAAGTACGGTGTTTCACAAACAGTAATTAGACACATTAGGGAAATGAGCCTGAAAGTCTCTTCACAGGAGGAGGCCTTGAGGGTCCTCCCTGACATTACCCAATGTCATTGGCTGTACTTGTGTTGCCCGGTCCCCAAGACTAGCAACGAGGCAGATGGGTAACAGCTGGTGTTTGGACTCTCTAGTAAGAACGGGCACAGCCTTCTTGAGTCATCAGGAATGCCACCAGTCCCACTTGGTTCCCATGGGAGTGATGGGTCACTCGGGGCCCCTCCCTGTCCCTGGCACTCAGGTGGGCAGGAGTCTCGATGGGGCGCTGGGAGCAGGAAAACGGGTTAGACAAGGCCTGGCTGCTCCCAGGCACCACCCATGCATTGTGTGTCCATCCCAAGCCATCATCTCCTGTTCCTTCCCTAAGGACCTGGAGAGGGGGCCACCAGCTAGCTAATCAACATGAGGTGCCAGGCCTGGGGCAGCCCCATAGTTACCCTGGGGCCTTGTCCCTTGGCCTCACCCATACATCCGGTTTGATTTTACACCGGATCTCCTCCCTGCCCCATCCCTTCAACCACACACCCCATTACAGTGGATTTTAAGCCAACTCGAGAGAGATTCCTACAGGTGGTGCCTCAGTTTCCTCAAGAGTATGAGCTGGGTGTATATAGTGGTTTTGGGTATATATAGTGGTTGTTTGTGACAGCGACAAGAAAGGAAGTCATCTCTTACCTATCCCTGTGATGGATGGCAGAAAAAAACCAGAAATATGCCCCACCCAACCTATCCATGTGGTTCAAAACCTGTTGGTGAGTTAGCTGTATCCAGTTGGTATCTGGTGGGGAGAGTAGAAGGCTGGGTGCCAGGAATCCCAAACCATAACTCCTAGGAGACCCGACCTGTCTGTTAGGCACAACCTCTTTAATTGAATCTGTCATCCTACTTAGCCTAGCTGTTCAGGGAGGTGCACATAGGCCCCAGCTGCTAACCACACCTCCAAGGTTACCCCCCTCCTGCTCTCAGCGTGGGGTGGGCCAGCATCTGGGGACTGTGTGCCCTGCTCCTTCAGGGGATTTCCATTCTTCCCTCCATTTCATCCCTTGTAGCCTCCCACTTCCCCGCAGAAAGGCGTCCTCACCACTCTTCTATAGGGCTTACTCCGTCCCACCCGGCTTGCAAAGCCCGGGGTACTCCTCAACTCTTCTCACATCAACAGCGCCCCTGCTTGCTAGGCCCACGGAACTCAGCCTTCAGTGTCCGCTGGAGACAGTACGGGAGGTGGGGGAGCGGAGAAGGAGCAAACGTCTCCCCCTGGGGCAATTAGGGGCAGGTAAACAGGGTGTCTAACAAGGCCCGGGAGAAGAGAAAGGCTCCCAAGAGCTTCTGAACTTGTTAAACCCCTATGCTCGGCTTTAGAAGCCAAGATGTAGAGTTAAGGGAGTGGAGAAAAATGCAGAGACTAGGTTCTTCCCCTCTAGTGCGCGCCCCCGAGGCTGCGCGCGGCTCGTTCCAGCAGGCGAGGCCCGACCACGTGTGCGCGGCGTGGAGTCCGCGCGCCAAGGCTGGGGGGGGGCAGCGGCGGCGGCGGGAACGCTCCCAGGGCGGCGCTTGCACACTGACACCCCCGCGCCCCGCCAGCTCCGGCCTGGAGGAGAAGCAGCGCGTCGGTCACCCCCGCCCCTCGACCCTGCGACAGTAGCGACAGCAGCGGCGGCGGAGGTTTATTGATCTGCAGCGGCGGAGAAGAGCGAGGACTCGCCGAAAGCGAGAGACACACAGAGATGGAGAGACTCTGCCATATACAGAGGGGAGGCGAACACAGACGGATTCGCCCGAAAGGGGAAAGGGAGGGAGGCACGGGGGGGAGGGAGAGCCAGAAACCGGGAGAGGGAGGAAATGAATGAGAACCAAGCAAGACTTGGGAGGAAAAAAAAACAAAAACAAAAAACGGCAAAGAGTCAGTCAGCATCGGATCCAGAGAGGCCCAGAGCAGAGGAGGAGACAGCGCAGAAGAGAAATCCGGACACACTGGCGAACAGATGAAAACAGACCACCACGGACGTAGTAGAGGTCTCAATAAATATTTGTTGAATGAATGTGTGAATGAAAGTGATCAGCACCAGCAACGTTTCCTAGATAGGCAGGGAGATCACGAGAAAAAGATGCTCTTGAGGAGAGTACCAACACCTTCGTTTTAGTTCACAGAAATGAGGCGCTGGCAAGGGGGATAGACATGCTTGGCCCTCAACTCCGCCTCCATTCAGTCCTCGACTCAGGAGACCCTCGACTTCACTCTCTCATCACTCTCTCCAATAAGGTTGCTCCCACCGCGTCCTAGTTTCTGGGCCAGGTTAGGAAAAGGTCTCGCTTATTCCCAGGGACTAACTCAAGGGGCTGAATGGGGGAAGGGGTGATGGCTAGGTAGCCAGGACCCAGCCACCCGCCCCAGGTCTGTCGGAGGAGGCTACTGCAGGTCTGTCAAAGGAGGCTATTGCACGTGTCCCACCAGCACCCTCCCACGTGACCCCAAGAGGCGGGGTCGCAGACCCTCCCCACGTGACCCCAAGGGGCAGAGACCCTCTACACGTGATGGGAGGTGGGAGCCAGGAGCCTAGATCACGTGACTATGGGGGGGACCTGGGAGCCTGTGGCTCAGCCCGGCCCCGCCCCCAGCTCCCCGGCCCTCTCCACTCCCGGCTCTGGAGCACGTCGCTCTCACGATTTATGGGGCCGCGGATGCCGCAGTGAGAGAGCCGGGGAGCCCGGGCGCAGCGGCAACAAAGGCCCGGGAAGCGGGGCGGGGGCGGCAGCGGCCTCCTGGTCCGGTGTGCGCCGCCTCCTACCTCCGTCCGTCTCTGCCCACACCGGAGTGGAGAGGGCGAAAGGAGGTTCTGGGAACCAGGCTCTCTCATCCCGTTCCGGAGCTTTCACCTGCGCCCAGGTGTATGCGGGGGAGGGGAACCTGATCAACGCTCCTCTCAAGGCTATTTCCACACCCCCTAGGCTCTGCCATGCTACGAGCAGTGGGGTTCCCCAAGGGTGGCGGGGAACCCAGGATCTCTCTCACCTGCGAGCTCTCTGCTCGTGCCAGACTGTAGCGGGGCGGGGGTCGGACGTGTAAATCTTATGGGGGGGGATGAGCAAGATAGATACAGCAGGGTAGTCAGCCCTCAGGGCCCCCCGGGGAGGATGGAGTCCCGCCCCGGGGGGGGGAGGGGCTGCAACCCCACCCCCGAGGTTTCCATGGGAAGCGAAAGGGGGGCGTCATTAGCTCATCCCCACCCCCAGTCTGACACTCTGGGCGCGAGGAGAAAGAGGGGGAGGCGCAGAGCCCCAAACAACAAAGAGCAGAGCAGCAAGCAGCAGCCCCTCCCCCGGAAGGTTGGGGGTCGTGGTCGAGGGCCTTCAGGTCCCCTCCCCTGGGGTCTCACCATTTGTTCCCTAGTCGGCCCCCAGGGTGGAGAGTCAGAAGCAAAGCTGCCGCCACCGCCCGGGCAGGTGTGACAGTGATCCCGGTGTCCCCAGGGATCCCCCTACCAATACACTGAGGTGGCCAGAGAGATACACACGACAGCTCGGCAGGGAGAAGACAAGGGCAGCAAGGACTGTGCAGAATGATGGCCCGGTCCGGCAGCCGGCACCGGGCCGCCGCGCCACACACCGGAGGAAACCACACGGCCGCCCTGACACCCGCCCAGACCGCGGCGGCGCCAAGAGCCACCCCAGCCCAGACAAGACTGGCCACGCGGACACCGACCGCAGCCCCCTCCCCGACCCGCCGCCCGCTCCCACCCCTAGACGGTCGCCGACGCAGACACACAAATCACACACAGACACACGCACACTGACAGCCGCGCACGCCCGTTCACACTCAGTGCCATACGCCGTCCCTAGCCCCAGTGCGTGTGTGTGTGTGTGTGACATGCCGACATCTCTGCCTTCTTCCTTCTCACCAGTATCCTGCGTTCCCAGGGCCCCTCAACTTCGCGACCCTGCCCCAGCTCACCCCAACAGGGCTTATTCACACAACCAGAGCAACCCATTACCCTACGTTCTGAGGAGATGGTGAATCGGAGTTCCTGCCCTAATGCCGAACCCCACTTTTAAAAGCAAGAGTCTTAAGCGGAACCCCATCAACATTTATAGGCTGAAAACAGGTCATCCTTCATCTCCCAAAATGCAGCGGCCTATCCCCAGCACACCGGTACTCACAGACTTCAATCTAGCCAAAAAGAGCGTGGATGGTGGGGGAGACTACGGGACAGAGAACACTATTCCAGAGGCGAGCGTGGAGAGAAACCAAGATGGGGTTAGGGACCCCCAACAGCCTCCTCCGCACTGCCAGAGCGCTCTTTACTATGCCCCAACAGCTTCTCTCAGACACCCCCGAGTTTCACAGACGCCCACGTAGTGCGTCCCCTCTCCCTCGCCTCTCGGCACTGAGCCTGTCTCCCAGGACTGCTGCCAGGTTCCCCTAGGACTTCTCGGGCCCACCAGCTCCCCCATCACTGACGCGGGACGCACGGGTTCTCCGGGTCCCCGACTCACTGCTGGTTGGAGCTGTTCCAGTATACCGCATGTCGGTTTCCCAGCGCGCCCCCAGGCCCCTGGGCCAGCAGCGGCAGCAGCGGCACGGGCACGAGCAGCAGCAGCAGCAGCAGCGGAGCCGCCGCCATCCCCGGAGCCGCCGCCGCCGCCGCCCCCCGACTGAGCCCCGCGCTCCCGGCTTCTCAGCTTCCCAGCTCCCTGCTGCCGCCGCTGCCAGCCCCCAACCTTAGTCACGCCCACAATCCTTCCCTCCGCCCTTCTGGGCGCGCCCCCGAAGCCCCGCCCCTGGCGCGCTCACGCGGGGCTCCGCCCCACTTGAGTCTAGAGCGCGCCGCGCGTGGGCGCCCCATACCGTGTAGCCCCCTTTAGGAACAACGCGTCTCTCCTCTCTCCTAGGTGATTTGCTGCAGCGGCTTGCGTCTTTAGCTCCCCCAGGCTGGAGTTCACAGAAGGATTTGGAAGGCAAGACCTGAACATACAGCTTGTGTAGGTCCACACCTTTCTCCGTGGAGTGTGGGAGTGTTGAGGATCGAAGGTCTACGTCCGGAATAAGCAGGACTAGACCCATATCTGAACGAAGTTGGACCTCTACTTCCTCCACCCCCTTTCCATATGTGCAAGAGTTAAATGGACATAAGATGGGGAAGCCCTCAGGTGGCACCAGGAGCTGACAGCTGCCTGAAGGCCCTCAGCTGAGGATGAAGGTTTGTTTTTCCTGAAGCCAGAGCAGAGCAACTCAACCCAAAGAGTGTCACCTTCTGGGGGCTGGGCACAGTAGCTACACTCCTTTAATCCTGGCACTCTAGAAGTAGAGACAGGCAGATCTCTGTAAGTTCGAGGGCACCTATGCAGGTCTGTGTAACAAGTTCTAGGCCAGGCAGGGCTACATAGTGAGGCCTTCTATGGTAATCCAGGGTAAAGGTATTTGGTGGTGGTGAGTTGTCAAGGCAGGAGCCAGTTGGAGCCAATGGAATGGAGTAGTCTTCTTGGCAAACCCACAAAGGGCCCCTCACTGCCTCCATTCCCTCAGTGATGTCCTGAGGCATCATTCCTGCTTCCATAGAAGCTTTCTCTAAGGACAAAGGGCACCTTATATTCCAGCATTTACCACAGTAGTTGTCTTCCTAGGGACATATAGGCACAAAAATGACATGCACACAGTGATTTGAGGAAAAAAAAAAGGTATACATACCCAGAAGCAGGAACCATGGACACTTGACATACAGTACAATATAGGCACACAAGGTGCCTATGGAGAAGAAATTGGTAGAAACATAGGCCTATAGACAGAGACACTGAAGTATACAGACACACACAGACACACACACACACACATAGACATACACACTTCTCCCAAATTATTGACCTGCACCATCCTCTTTGTGAGGGATCCAGAATACAGATCTAGTAGGCATTCACCCCTTATCTTGTCTCTTTCCCAGAAGCCCAGACTGAAAGGCAAAGCAAAACTGGGCCTGACTGGGTTCTTAGAACCCACAGCACCTGTACCCAGGGAGGCAGGCACATGGCTGTTTGTTGTGCTTCAAGAAGCAGAACAGATAGCAGCACCCTCCATCCTTTTACCTTTGGCAGTACAAGGCCCTGACCACATGCCTGCCTTAGTATTGTGTTTGGGGGCAGGGCACTGCATGCACAGTAGGTACCATGCCTCCCTGCTGCTAGGCAAGAGTGGGTGCTGTCCTCTTGGGATACCTCTCCATTCCCGGGAGATATCTTCTCTCTTCTTGGGAGCCAGAAAATAAATGAGGCCCTTTGAGATGGGAATGAGGGAGTTTGCAAACAGCTCTCTTCATTCCCAAAGAGATTTGCTTCACCCAAATAATGCTAACTGCCTACTCCAGGGAACACAAGCTCCAGCCCCAGCTCCAGCCCCTCCATGCCATACCTTTGCTTCAAAGAAGTAAGCTTCTCTCTGTAAGGCAGAGTAGCCAGAGAGCCTGCCCATAAGCAGAGTGAGTGCATGGCGCTGGATTGGTCCAGAACTTTGAATTCTACTTTTTGAAACCTTAGGTTCCTGTTTCTAGAATCTGGGTTCCAAACTGGGAATGCACTTATTGGTAGAACATTTGTATGAGACCCTAGGTTCAATCTCCATTACTGGAAAAATAAACAAATAATAAAACCTGGCTTTAAAGATTTGTGTGATTTGGGCCCCATACTCTAGAGCCCAGACATTTCTCTTTAGAATGTAGTACTCTATACCTTCTTTGTCCAATAATCATACTTAGAGCTTCATAGTGGGAGGTGTGGCTCACAGGTTAAGAGCATTTGCTATTCTTCCAGAGGACCCAAGTTCAATTCCCAGGACCTACACCAGATGGTTCACAACTGCTGTAACTCCAGCTCCAGTGGATCTTATACTCTCAAAAGGTATCTGTACTCACATACTCACACACACACACACACTCACATACACACACATCACACACATACACACACATATACACACATACACACATACACACATATACACACTCACACATACACACACACTCACACATACACACACATACACACACACATATACACACATACACACATACACACACATCACACACATACACACACATATACACACATACACACATATACACACACTCACACATACTCACACACACACTCACACACACTCACACACACTCACACATACACATACACACACATACACACACATACACACACACATACACACATATGCACACACACACCCCACAAGGGGGTCCACACATAATTAAGTATAGTTTTTTAAAAGGGAGCTGTTTCCCTTGAACTTGGGTCCCTCTTTGTTTAACCCTGAGTTTAAGACCATCTCTCTTTTTCTGTGGCCAAAATCTGGCTTTGAACACTCGGTGGGGCCTGTGTCTGTGGGATCTGACCCTCTGGTATCCAGGCTTCTTCCTTGGAAGTGTTGGCTGACTGATTTGGGCTCCTCTAGGAAGATTGTTTCTAGAGTGCGCTCTTAGCAAGTGGTGCCTTGTACAAAAACAAAGGTGCCGATTCCTTTGGTGGGAAGTGGGCTATGTGTCTCTCCATCTTAGTTAGGAGTGCGAGCTAATGCTGGCTTCTTCTTGCCCTGTATTGTAACTTTACAAGGGTATGTGGCTGTTCTGTGTACAGATCATGCAGTGTACGCACCTCCAGCTACAGCACTGTTCAAAAACTTCACGGAGACTAGGAGTTTATGTATTTATTAATTTATGATTTTTTTAACTAATTTACTTATTTGAGACAGGGGCTCTCTATGTATTGTTGGCTGTCCTGGAACTCATTATTTAGACCAGGTTAGCCTCAAACTATTGCCTCTGTCTCCAGTGCTAGGATTAAAGGTGTGTGCTACCATGCCTGGCTGGGACAGGAATTCTTGAAGGACTCAGTCTCTTTGTTAATGGAGTGAGCTGCTCTTTATGCCTGGGACCTGATGTGTGGCAGGAGGAGTCCTCTATTGGGGGGGGGGGGGTTGGCCTTTGTCTGTATCTGTGGCTCCAGTCACTCTTGACTGACCCGCAGTAGGAATAAGTTATCTGGCTGGCACTGCCAGCCAGCACGCATGTGCACACACATCTACAGCACTGCTGGCTGTGACACGGGACACAGGCAGGAAGTTCCATGAAGAAATACTGACCACTACTGCAGAGGACATGTCCTTAGTTGTCTTTTGTTTCATTTTTTAAAAGTGTACTTGCAGCCGGGCGTTGGTGGCACACGCTTTTAAGTCCAGCACTTGGGAGGCAGGGGAGGCGGATTTCTGAGTTCGAGGCCAGCCTGGTCTACAGAGTGAGTTCCAGGACAGCCAGGGCTACACAGAGAAACCCTGTCTCGAAAAACCAAAAATAAATAAATAAATAAATAAATAAATAAATAAATAAATAAAATAAAAGTATAATTGGGGACTGAAGAGATGGCTTGGTAGGTAAGAACACTTTTTACTCTTGCAAGGGGGCCTAGGTTCGATTCCCAGCACCCATATGGCAACTTACAACCACCTGTAATTCCAGTTCCATGGGATCCTACTCCCTCTTATGGCCTCTTCAGGCACTAGACACACACATGGTGATAGGCATACATGCATGTAAAACACCCATACACATAAAATTATAAAATAAGGGGTTTTGTTTGTTTGTTTGAGACAGGTCTCATTATGTAGTCCGACTGTCCTAGAACTTCCTATGTAAACCAGGTTGGCCTTGAACTTACAGAGATTCACTTGCCTTAACCTCTTCACTGCTAGGGTTAAAGTCGTGTACCAACATGCCCAGTCTTTCTGTTTGTTTGTTTATTTGTTCGTTGTTGTTTCAAGAAAAAGTTTCTTTCTGTAGCCTTGGCTGTCCTGAAACTTGCTCTGTAGACCAAGCTGGCTTCTAAATCACAGGGATCCACCTGCCTCTGCCTCTGCCTCCAAATGCTGGGATTAAAGGCGAGCACCACCATCCAGCCTAAATTTAAAAAACTAAGTCAGGTATAGTGGTGCCTATGATCCCAGAGTTTCGGAGGTAGAGGGAAGGAGGATCAAAAGTTCAAGATCACCTTCAGCTACAAAATGAGTTTGAGGCCAACCTAGGCTAAATGAGACTCTGCTTCAATGTAATAATAATGATCACACTGTCTGCCACTAATAAAATCAGTTCCTGGTTTCATCTCCCACAGTAGGTCAAGTAGGTCACAGACCCAAGTGTGAAACTCTGAAGCATCAGGCCTGACTCTAATCTGCTGTCCGGTTTTCTCCATGAGGCTGGTCCCCTGTGCCTCAGGCCCCACTAGCCCTGGTACTGGGTCCCATGACCTTCCTAGGAACATTGAGTTCAGACTCCCCCAAAATTCTGACGTGTGGTACTGTATTCTCCCCACCCTTGGGGGCCAAGGAATCAGGAAGTTGAGCAGGTCTAGGGCACAGGGAGCACGTAAGCTGTGTAGCCCAAGGCAGCTCCCAGGACATGGAGAAGCAACCACAGAGCTGAGCTTAGTTCAATAAATCATGGAGGCTAGGGCCTGGGGGAGGGGATGGCTGCAAGGGGAGGGGGCTGGATAAATAATTCATTAAACAAATAAACAAGGAGCCTGTAAGAGGGAAGCCGGGCATGATGTGAGCAGGAGCGGCAGCCGCCAGCTCCTGACATGAAATATTCACAGGCTCTGCAACTTTCGCAGGGTCACGGGTGTTCTGCTGGGTGAGTACCACAGACACCTGGGTGCTGTGGGGTGGGGCCAGGTG